GTTTGAGATTCACTCTATGTCATGTCCATGCACTGAACTCTTGTTATTTGACTATACCAAGGTAAATTCAATTTTGAATTATAGGTCACCTTTAAATTATTTTGTATTTTTATTGTTAACTGCTGCCATGTCATGTGATTTAGTCAGCTTGATTAACATTATTACAATGTATTCCTATTTAACACAGATGTTCTTTGCTAATTACAGAAACTATAAGCACAATTCATAAGTATAAATATATATTTATCAAATTTATAAGTATATAGGCTATATTTGTATGGTCCTCGAATGTGTTTGCCTTTTCACCGTTTGTATCACTCCGCTTGTCTGTGTTTGCCCAACCTGCATCATTAAGCCAGTAGGTGGTTACAAGTGACTGTCTTTATGAGTGAACAATTGAACTTTAATTGAACTGATTAGTGCCAAAAACATTGATTAACTTAAGAAAGAAACAAGTTGCTGAAATAATCTTTAATGCTAATATATAAATTGCTCATTTGCCTCTGGACACAAAAAGATTGCACTGGTGTTTGAGTAACATCTATGCAAAATAATCCTTGAAAGATTTCTCATTTAAGGCCATTCCTGTTTGGAATATGTGATTGTGTATTGTCAACAATAAGCAGAAACCTTCTGCATTTCCAAGTGTGGATCATTCATTTCAACATTTATCCTCATTCTCATATAAGAATATGTTATCTGCTTGACAAATCATTTATGCTACTGCCTACATGCTTTTAAAGCTATTGTTATCCAATTTTTTTTACCTTCAAGCACCTTAAAATGCACACATGTAGGTCTGAGAAATCGAAATTTTCTCAGCGGAGTATGCCCCCAAACCCCCCTAACTACCTCACATAAGGTGCGTGACTGTGTGGTATTGTGGGCTGGTGTGGTTACAGTGCCAGGGATGGATTTTTTTAACCAGTCTGCCCCCTGCACATAGGCCTGCAATATACATTATACACTCACCGGCCACTTTATTAGGTACCCCATGCTAGTAACGGGTTGGACCCCCTTTTGCCTTCAGAACTGCCTCAATTCTTCGTGGCATAGATTCAACAAGGTGCTGGAAGCATTCCTCAGGGAGTTTGGTCCATATTGACATGATGGCATCACACAGTTGCCGCAGATTTGTCGGCTGCACATCCATGATGCGAATCTCCCGTTCCACCACATCCCAAAGATGCTCTATTGGGTTGAGATCTGGTGACTGTGGAGGCCATTTTAGTACAGTGAACTCATTGTCATGTTCAAGAAAACCAATTTGAAATGATTCGAGCTTTGTGCCATGGTGCATTATCCTGCTGGAAGTAGCCATCAGAGGATGGGTACATGGTGGCCATAAAGGGATGGACATGGTCAGAAACAATGCTCAGGTAGGCCGTGGCATTTAAACGATGCCCAATTGGCACTAAGGGGCCTAAAGTGTGCCAAGAAAACGTCCCCCACACCATTACACCACCACCACCAGCCTGCACAGTGGTAACAAGGAATGATGGATCCATGTTCTCATTCTGTTTACGCCAAATTCTGACTCTACCATCTGAATGTCTCAACAGAAATCGAGACTCATCAGACCAGGCAACATTTTTCCAGTCTTCAACTGTCCAATTTTGGTGAGCTCTTGCAAATTGTAGCCTCTTTTTCCTATTTGTAGTGGAGATGAGTGGTACCCGGTGGGGTCTTCTGCTGTTGTAGCCCATCCGCCTCAAGGTTGTGCGTGTTGTGGCTTCACAAATGCTTTGCTGCATACCTCGTTTGTAACGAGTGGTTATTTCAGTCAAAGTTGCTCATCTATCAGCAAGGCATTTGATTGACATAACGTGAGGTCATATTTATTTTTTAACGTGCGAAGATTTCAGACGCGAATTTTGGACTCAGTGTGCAAGGGTCTTAAAGATATGGTTCACCCAAAAATTATGTCATTAATAACCCTCATGTCGTTCCAAGCCCGTAAGGCCTCCGTTCATCTTCGGAACACAGTTTAAGATATTTTAGATTTAGTCCGAGAGCTCTCTGTCCCTCCATTGAAAATGTGCGGTCCCACGGTAATACAAACATCATCAAAGCAGTCCATGTGACATCAGTGGGTTAGTTAGAAGTTTTTGAAGCATCGAAAATACATTTTGGTCCAAAAATAACAAAAACTACGACTTTATTCATCAGATAACATGTAACATAACTGGTGTACCAGATAATTACGTCAGCAGTGTCACTACAGACTCGTGAAGGGGGATCCACAACAGAACCGGAAGAGAATACAATGCTGAATAAGTCGTAGTTTTTGCTATTTTTGGACCAAAATGTATTTTTGATGCTTCAAAATCTTCTAAATAACCCACTGATGATGTCACATGGACTACTTTGATGATGTTTTTATTACCGTTCTGGACAAGGACAGTATACCTATGGAGGGACAAAAAGCTCTCGGACTAAATCTATAATATCTTAAACTGTGTTCCGAAGATGAACGGAGGTCTTACGGGCTTGGGACGACACGAGGGTGAGTCATTAATGACATAATTTTAAGTAACTTTAACTTTAAGTATATTTGATTGTGCTAAAGTGGAACTATTGCAAGTATACTTTATGTACAGTTTAGATATCTTGCATTTAAAGACTGATATTAAACAGAGATCATACTATCCTTTCTAATAGTAATATTAAACACATTTTAAGGCTTAATATTAAGAAATGTACAATGTGCAATAAAGAAGCACTCCAAATAAAGTTTAATTATAATTATATCAGTAATTCTCAAGCAATATGTCAGTAAATATGCTAATGGGTTTGTAGTATATAGTTTGAAATAAATGTATTTTAAATACATTTTGGTATAGTTTTTTTACACTAGGGAGTTTAAACATGCAACTAATGATAAAATCAAAAACTGTTTTGTCGGACTACTGTTTGTCTGACTAAAGCTGTATGTCCTACAAAGAGTGTTCAGCAAACAGCTTTAAACCTTCCAACAGCACTTGGAATATATCTACCACCTTTATACTCAAAAACATCTATAGAGGATGCATTACATATGTATTACCTTATTCAAATTGAAATGAATGCCCATGTTAGAGGGTTCACACACAGGCCTCTGTTTGGGCTAATTCAGAGTTGTTTATGATCAAAGTTATACAAATCCAATTTAAGTTACTTTTGGGTGCAATAACTTTTACATTGAATGCCAAGTCTGTGTTTTAGCAAAAAAGGGTATGTGTCCAAAAACACATACTGAGTAGGAGTACATGACATAGGCTAAATCGTTTACATCTCAGGTTCACCCCAAACAAACATAAAATCTTACAGTAATCTGACAAAATTATGTATTCCATAAGTTTGTAATCATGTCAGTGCAATTTAGACAAGTCCAATGGATTCATAGACCCAGAAAATATGGGGTTAGACACCAATATTACTTGGCTGGGTCAAATAATGAAGGAGTTAGGATATTTTAAGGGCTTCCTGCCCATCTTGGACGCCATCTTGAAAATTACACCTTTCTAGTGGTCAAAATGTGTTAAACTTTTAGTATGTTATTAAGGACACCGTGTCCAGCTGAGAAACCTTTTGTTAGAATTTTTTTAGGGTTAGGTGTATTTTTTTCATATATGCAGCCACCTATAAGTTGTTGTGGCTTTTTTTTACACATCCACGGTGGAAACAAATTTCCTCTCTGATGACAAACAAATTATCTATCCATCAGAATACATTTCACCTCTTATGTTGTACATTTGAATTTCATTCACATTCTTGCATATAATTTTAGCGCTCGCAAAGTAACTACTTATTCAAAATAATACCTACTCAATAGAGTATATTATTTCGGACGCAACCCCAGTGTACAATTCTGTCCTGGACTTTGAATGAGATTTGTCGTGTGTCCTCGCCAGTAGGTACCTGTAACAATTAGTTTTTGAGACTTAGGGTGTACTCACACTAGGCACGGTTGCCATGAACCGGGCCCGAGTACGATTGTCCCCCCTTCCCACTCCCCCTCTGGCCTGCACTCACATAGGGTTTCAGCATTCGTGCCGGAGCACGCTTACGTCATTACGTGCGACGGTTTCGGGATAAACAAGAAGAGCGGCGCTCTCTGAACAGAATTAGTCCATCGCTCTGTTTTCTTTGTGGATAATTTTGTGTCGTTTGGTCCACGGTGGTCCACAGCCTGTTGTTAAACAGATGTGTCGCCTTAGTGGCGCGAACATTTTTACGTAATCGTGCTGCTCGTATGAGGAGGTTTGCAAGGTGTTGGTTTTGGAGCGTCGCAAAACCATGACGACGCGCGTCCTGTTCCGTGCTCCAGCACGGTTAGCGCTCACACTGCATGCGAACCGCGCCCGAGTCCAACTGAACCGTGCTCTGGCCCACCTCTTCCAAGCGGGCCAGGGCCGGCTAATCGAGCCGCGCCCGGGCACGGTTCGGAGCACTCACACTAGTCAAACGAACCGCGCTTTGGTGGTCAAACGCACTCGGGCACGGTTCAAACTGGCTAGTGTGAGTACACCCTTATTATTTAGAGGAAGTGTCTGAATGTGTTTTGAATTCGAAGAATATCATAAAGCAATGGGAGTTTACTTGAAGCACTTTGGTGTTAATGTGAAATGTGTTCAATGTAACAGAAGAAAAACAAGACAGAATCCATTTTAATTCAGCAAATCTGCAGTCATTAGTGGAGTTTAGAAAATGTAATCATTAAATTGAGAATAACATTTATTTTAGCTTAGGTTGGCAAACAAAATCACAAAAAGGAATATGATGAATTTCATATTTCACCAGACAATAGATCATCTTCCAATGTTTGTTTAATCATGTCCATCAATAACAAAGTACAGTGGGAAATCTTCATGTATTAATGCAATATCAGATACATTTACAGGATTTTAACTTGGCTCTGTTTTACGTGTTTAAAAAATAAAAAAGTTCGATATTGCTTTGTGAATTTTAAAGTTACAGTAATCTGAACAAACAACAGTATATATGCTGGAAATTGGTTCTTAAAAAGTTGTGCTGTTCAGTTGCTTTTTAAGTATGCTATTGATCCAGAAGATATGTCTTTTGGAGAGAAACGTGTACACAGTTGGTTTCTTGGGATTACCGCATCCTATCGACCCTGATACAAATCCAACTATGTTTTTCTTACATTCCAGAGGTCCACCGGAATCTCCCTGAAAAAGAAAAAAAAAACGGTTATTTTTCTTTCAGACAGGTAAAGGGATGATTTCGAAGAGCCTGCAACAGCCATAAATCAAAGACAACAATATGACATACCCAACAGACGCCTCTATTTTCCTGCTTGTTTGCTGCACACAGCATGTCTTTGGTGATCACAAGATCGCTCTTGTAGAAGCAGTTGCACAGATCTCTGTCCACAACTGTCACCTCTAACATTTGCAGTTTATCAGAAGGTTTATGGACTTCAGAATTAGCAGTTCCCCAACCTGTCACAACACATTTTGTTCCAGGTGGAACATCCTTTTCCTTTTTAGGGATCTTTTTGGGCTTTGCTTTCACTTTTTTGTTTAGCTGCAGAAGAAAAATCAATGCTCAAATGCATACTGTGGAAAACATCATACGGTCACCGTGTCTAAACAACAACCACATTCAATTCATCCTTACCTTAATCAGCATGATGTCATCTTGTTTAGTCCTTTCATTGAATGTTGCAGGTTTTGCATAACTGAGGATGCCAACACGCTGAGAGCCTTTACTCAGAGACAGAGATCCTATGAGAACTGTCACAGATGAAATGGGTTTTCTGAAATAGAAAACTGACTTAGATGTGCATATGCAGATACTTTACAGTGAGAACCTTAAAGGATTAGTTAACTTTAATAAAAAAAAACTTTTGCTGATAATTTACTCACCCCCATGTCATCCAAGATGTCCATGTCTTTCTTTCTTCAGTCGAAAAGAAATTAAGGTTTTTGATGAAAACATTCCAGGATTTTTCTCCATATAATGCACTTTGCTGGGCACCAAACGGTTCAAGGTCCAAAAGACAGTTTCAGTGCAAACTGCAAACTGTTCAAATGGCTTTAAACTATTCCAGACGATGAATAAGGGTCTTATCAAGCGAAACGATCGCTCATTTAAAAATGAAATAACAAAGTTTAAGTTTTATAAGCTCAAATGCTCGCCTTGCTCTGTTCTGTGTGACTCTCCTGTTCGAACTCGTTCATCAAAATGAACTAATCTTTTTCCGAGTCAATTCGTTCATTTCGTTCGTTAAATGAACCAAATGACTCGAAAAAAGATTTGTTCATTTTGATGAACGAGTTCGAACAGGAGAGTCACGAACGTGCATCACAGAACAGAGCAAGGCGAGCATTTGACATTATTAAACTTAAACTTTGTTATTTATTTTGGAAATGACCGATCGTTTCGCTTGATAAGACCATTATTCATCGTCTGGTGTCGTTTAAAGCCCTTTGAACAGTTTGCAGTTTGCACTGAAACTGTCTTTTGGACCTTGAACCGTTTGGTACCCAGCAAAGTGCATTATATGGAGAAAAATCCTGGAATGTTTTCATCAAAAACCTTAATTTCTTTTCGACTGAAGAAAGAAAGACATGGACATCTTGGATGACATGGGGGTGAGTAAATTATCAGCAAAAGTTTTTTTTTAAAGTGAACTAATCCTTTAAGAAAATGAGGGATTAGCATAAAAAACTGGGGGAATGTTTCCTGGTCAAGTGAATTAGAATGAATGGATAAATAAATAAATGTATATATATATATATATATATGCATTAAATAAATGGTCACACATTATATTAAGTGTCTTAACCTTCTAACATTTATATTAATCATTTGATACATTTGCACTTATTGTGTTCATTCTTTTACATTGTACTTAGATTTAAAAAAATACCTGACTGGTCAAATGTCCTTAATATTTCTTTTTTAAGAGCAAAGATATTTTTTGATATAACTCCGATTGTGTTCGTCTGAAAGAAGAAAGTCATGTACACCTTGATGGCTTGAGGGTGAGTAAATCATGGGGTAAATTTCGTTTTTGGGTGATCTATCCCTTTAGGAGTTTGTGCACAGATCATTTTGATGGTCCCTTTTGAACAGTCTGTTGAATATTAGTAACTTTACAACTACATGTCAACTAACTCTCATTAGAGTAGACTGTCTGCTTAATATTATTGTGATGGTCTTAGACATTCTACTGACTATAAGTAACTTTGCAACTATATGTCAACTTATTCTAACCCTAACCCTACCATTCTTCAAACACTCTAACAAGTACCCCTAGCCAAAGGTTACACCTGCAATTAATCACAGCTGTAATTCATTTCTGTAAGTACATCTACAATTACAATGTTGATCCTTCCCTTACTTCTTAACCCATTAAACCTAACCATACCACAAAACCTGTCCCCAATCCTGTATCCCACCTCAGTAGCAGCAAAAGTCTTTTGAAATACAACAGGAACACAATAAGTACATTAAGTAGAAAAAGCACTTGCATAAAAATTTTTTAGAGTGTGACCAAATAGATCACTAAATAAAATACATTAAAAATTTTAAACAATAAATAAATAAACAAACATTAATTAAATAATAATTGTATCTTTAATTTGGACAAATATTTTATTATAAAAATGAGGAAACAAAAGAAAGATTATATTATGCTTCACATAGATTTTGCAAGTTCATTTGTATGCTCAAAGTGGTTGCCTTACCTTTCGCAGTGTGCTGGAGTTAAAACCCATTGGTCTTGAATGAGGATTCCTCCACACACATGGGTCTGGTCCTTCTGAATGGACACCATCCACGGCTGAAGTTTTTTGACATCTTTGCCTCCAATAATGGACACCTCAGAGCAAGCTGGGATAGAGATTTTAAAGGCATTTACAAATTCAACAAAAACCAACAGGTGAATTTGTTTTGTGAACTTTCTGATCAAACTCTGTGACAGATAAAGAACCATTACCTGCCACTTTGAAAAAGGTGAACGCCAGGAAGTGAATCACAATCAAATATCTGCAAACATCCATCTTGCCGACCGTTTTCTCAGCCAAAAGTCAATGTGTTGCCTCAGACATCCAACAACGTCAAGTGTAAGAGCAATGAGGAAATTTTCAATGTTTTTCAATGCACGTTTTGGTTACTTTGTGGTCAGAGCAGAATCAAAAGGTGTGTATATGTGGGAGTGTTTGCATGCAACGTGATGCATCTGTTTTTGCAAATTTGAACAAATTGACATTTAGTTGTGCTCTGTTTGAAGAATCCAAAACCAACAGAAAAAATTCACTTATTGAACAATAACTAGCCTACCTTATGTGTCATAACTGTCATTCTGTAAATGCTGTTATATGAGAGAGCAGAACTTAAAAAAAAAAAAGTGCTCTAAAGCTAAGAGTTGTAAAAGATCTTTAAAGAGAGTCAAGCTCTACCGACTGTACATATAAAATAAAATAAAAACAGAAAATCATTTGAACCCATACTCTATTGACAGAAAGGCCTTTACAAAACTCTATGGGACAATCAATGAACAGCAACTGTCTGTTCCCTAAAGACTTATTTAGTAAGGTATTGTATTTTATAAACTATAACACAAGCTCTTATTTCCTGCATTAATCAATGCTTTAGATCGAACGCAAGAGTCCAAATATGGCACCATTTCGAGTAAACAGACACAGTATTTTTACATTCTTTTGTATTCCTCCCCTATTAAAATTAGACTGAGAGGGGCTCTTTGTGACATGAGTTCAGACATGAGTCTTGAAAGTAAAAGTCTCATCAGGGTACAGTCCTCACTGAAAGATTGATGTGAAGCTAAAATGACTAATGATTTTTCACACCTTTAGACACAAAGCAGAAGCTTCAAAGTAAAACACACGGCTGCAAGTCTCCTGATGCGCCAACCTTATAGATGTGTGAATCACAGCTGCAGATTCAAATGAAGACCCAAAGGTTTTTATTTAACCTCATGTCAAGGAGAGAAAATAACAGATCTTGGGAGGGAAAATTAAACTGTTTTATAAAATGAGTTATGCTACTTGCAAATGAGATATTTTAACTTGACACTTACAAATACAATGCTTTTGTAAGGAAAAACTGATGTCGTGAAGAATTTCAAGACGACTGAAACAGAAACAAGCTGTGCTGCGGTTAACTATGAATGATGTTCACTCATTATCATTATAATTTCATGATGCAATAATTTAAATTATTAATACGGAGGAAGAACAAATAAAATACATAACTCCTGAAGTGGAACTTTGGGAAATGTAAGCTTTCTTTTAGCACAGGAAACTGAAATAAAGTTATTTTAGAAAACACACAAAAAAAAAAAAAAAAAAATTATTATTACAAACATTTTTTACAATTCTGAAGTAAACTAATCCTTTAAGCTCTATCAAATTATTTTTTTTCTAGCCAGTTAACAAGCTTTTGGACTTACCTTACCTAATGCAATTGTAACATTTGGTGTCATGCAGTCTTCCCGTGGTTGAAAAATGGATTACATGAGATGATACATTTTATTACTGTAAAGTGTGTTTTAGCTCCCTCTGGTGTTCATTTATGATTTCAGTGATGTGAAGTGAATTAAGTGATGATGTTACGATCTCAGGAAGGAAGGACCCAAAACAAGAAGAATGCTTAACTACAATTTACTGAAGCATAATAATGAAGACAGTACAAGCCTCACGGCAGCAAATCAGAGTCCAGGGAAATCAAATGCGGATCGTGAGACGGGAATCAGTGTCAGGATGGTCAGGCGAGGGGCAAACAGAGCCAACAAGCAAATCCTAACTCACAACTGGAAACAGGCAGATGTTCACGGCAACAACGCAATGCAGAGAGAGAGGCGATCGGTAAATCCAAACTCCAGCACCAGTAACAGACCAACTGGTCAACAGCAACAGCACAGTTTGAGAAGAATGGATCCTGGAGAGGGACGGGGAATCGCAGCACAACCTGGGCAGAGAAAAAAACATGTCAGATAAATAAAAAGAAACTAGACAAGAAAAACCGGCAGGTGAACAGCAAAAAGCACAGAACACACTGGCAGAGAACAAAGAGGAAGGAAGCGTAGATATGGCATAGAAATCAAGCAATAATGGGAGACATGTGAGCGCAAACAAGTGGACGTGCTGAAACACAAACTGGAGTGTGTTTCCCGAAAGCATTGCTAGCCAACGACGGTCGCATGTTCCGTCGTTATCAGCAGTTCAACGAGTCACAGTTTTTCACGAAACCATCGTTCCAGTGAACATTCACTAACAGCATCGCAAACTTGTGTTTGGAACGACAGATCTCGACCTGTGGTTAGAAGGAGAGTTTCTAGTTTGCATGACATTCGACCTTAATAAATCCTTATCTTGAGCCAAATAAGCAAGCTGACATTCAGTACAATCTATATATTTTGTTTAGAATACATACAAAACTTCATTTATATAGCGCTTTTAAAAATACAGATAGTTCCAAAGCGGCTTTACAGTCATAGGTAAATAATAAATCAAAGTAACAGAGATTGTTTTGGCTTTATGACAGCTCTAGAATAAAGTTATTTTCCAGTTAAAGTTAGTTTTGATTGATTCTCTTCAGTCGCACTCGCAACGATCATTAGTTATTAACTTTGAGGCCGCTAACATGACACCGCTCTAACAGATCTAATCTATGCAGCCTAACATTGAATTATAGAAGTCTATAGTGTGTTATGTGTTAATGTTTTTAGTTTAGATATAAACTGACAGAGTGTGTCTGCTTCCCGGACAATGTTAGGAAGACTGTTCCAGAGTTTTGGTGCTAAATAGGAAAATGATCTACCGCTAGCAGTCGATTTTGATATATAGGTATTATCAACTGGCCGGAATTTTGAGATTGCAATAGACGTGAAGGACTATAATGCGTTAAGAGCTCGCTCAAGTACTGGGGAGCTAAGCTCTTTAGTGTTTTGTAAGTAATCAGCAATATTTTAAAATGTATATGATGTTTAATAGGGAGCCAATGCAGTGTTGACAGAACCAGGCTAATATGGTTATACTTCCTAGTTCTGGTAAGAACTCGAGCTGCTGCGTTTTGGACTAGTTGTAGTTTGTTTATTAAGCGTGCAGGGCAACCACCCAGTAGAGCATTACAATAGTCTAGCCTTGAGGTCATGAACGCATGAACTAACTGTTCCACATTTGTCAATGAGAGCATATGACATAATTTAGATATATTTTTAAGATGGAAAAATGCGGTTTTAGAGATACTATTCACTTGACTTTCAAATGAAAGATTGGTATCAAAGAGCACACCCAGGTTCCTAACCGACGACGAGGACTTGACAGAGCAGCCATCAAGTGTTAGACAGTATTTTAGGTTATTTCGTGAGGACGTTTTTTGTCCAATCATTAGAATCTCTGTTTATTCAGAATTTAGTAGTAGGAAATTACTAGTCATCCAATGTTTTAGCTATGCATTCTGTTAATTTTGTGAATTGGTAAGTTTCGTATGGGTGCGAAGAAATATAGAGCTCAGGGCGTGAGAAAATATATGAGTATCATCAGCATAACAGTGAAAACGAATGCCATGCTTCCTAATGATATCTCCTAAGGGTAGCATGTACAGAGTGAACAGCAGCGGTCCTAGTACTGAGCCTTGTGGTACTCCATACTGAACTTGTGATCGATAAGACATCTCTTGATTTACTGCTACAAACTGATAATGGTCAGATAAGTATGATTTAAACCATGCTAAGGCAATTCCACTAATGCCGACATAATTTTCGAGTCTATGTAAAAGAATGTTGTGGTCGATGGTATCAAATGCAGCACTAAGATGTTACACTAATAGAGAGATACAACCACAAATGTCATTTTGGTTTACGTCTTTTAGTTTTAGATTTAAAGTGTCGTTTTTGTATGCATGTGTGAACATGCTCTAGTACGTAAGAACGAGCCTATGAACTATGATTAAATCTGGAAATAAAGCAAAATAACTGAGAACATTTTTAAATAGTCCTCAGATACCATGTCTGTAATTTATAGCAAAACATCTACCATTATTTCGATCTCAAACAGATTCATTAAAAGAAGTTATTACTCCACCATCTGCGTGACATCATTAACCAACGTGGTTGAACGACCACTTTGCGACAGTATGGTTTCGGGAAACAGTCATGACTAGCTAGTTGATTTCTTCAACCATGCATCGTAATGTGGTAGTGAAGCATCGAGTTACATCGTTGTACGGGAAAAACACTCCTGATGTGCGCAAACGCATGTGGAAAACAGAAACAAAACAAGAAAGTATAAGGAAGATCAAACCTGAGTTCTGACAGAAGAAGGAATATGGTTCCTCTTCTCTCTGTTCTGCCGTTTGATTATACCAGCAACCACAATCTGTCATTAAACAGCATCAAACAAACACTCATTGTTTGAATTGCACAATAAAATTGACATAAAGATCATGCTTTATCAAACACAGCATAAAGCTCAGAGAAGGGAAAATGTAAGTCTTTTTTGATCCATGAAATGATGATGCAGGTCACATAGGCTCTACCGTCACCCCGTTTATCAGTTTCTTACAGTTTTTATGATTTTCATGCATCAAAGGACACATCTTCTGTTTTTTTTCTGCTTATTTTGTAAATAATTATTTTTGTCGTTTTTGCTTTTACTGAGATTTTGACTGACTTTTACTCCTCTGTCATCATATGCATCAGTCAAAATGTAAATCAAAACCATAATTCTTACTGTTAGGTGTCTCTGATTCTTCGTTGTTGAGACCCTTTCCTCCAGCCTTCTTCAGTTCAGTCTCCCTCTTCTTCAGTTCTTTCACTCTTTTATCCAGTTCCTTCTCCCTTTTTTCCAGTTCATTCTCCCTTTTTTCCAGTTCCTTCTCCCTTTTGTCCAGTTCCTCCGCTCTTTTATCCATTTCCTTCGATCTTTTATCCAATTCCATCGCTGATCTTTTAAGATGTTTTTTCTCGCTCTCACTTGACTGCATGATGTAACATTAAGATTGTATTATTACACTTTTTTTACTTGGATTATTTTAAATTTTCATTCATTTATTGGAAAAATCATGGTTTTATCCACTGTAAATGAAGAGTGAATTCAGGGTATACATTTTATCTGTTCACAGGAACACTGTGTGCTAAGTTTCAGAAGTGAAAACCGGATTTAAACAGGAGTGAATCCCCTAAATTCAGAGATGGCCATAAATAAATCCATGTGTTTCAGACATCTATCGATTCGATACCTTTTAGCACCACCAACTTAAAAATAAAATGTGTTTAAGATGTTGTCTGTGCACAAAATGTATAATTTAAACTCAAATTTCTGGATTATTATTATTATTTAATTACATTGTAGAAATAATGAAAATTAGGCAGTGGCTTTCTATTCCCAACATGCTTTGCATAGGACTGGATAAGGAGAATAAATGTTGAACTTAAGTGTTATTTTATTTGTTTTGATTTTAGTCAAAGTAAAGACCTGTTAGTGTCTAATTTTGTTATGTTTGACATGTAAAAGAGTTTATGTAATGTTGAGGTTTTTGTGGTTACCATTGTGCAAAAGAGTAGATATGAGAGCAAGGCAGCGAACCAATCGCTCCTAACGCCACAGCAAAACTGGTTTCACTGTTCTGGGGTGCGTTTCCGAAAGCATCATTAGCCAACTATGGTTGCAAATTCGGTTGTTATAGGAGAACTCCGGGCAATTTTTAAGCATATCTTGATTGTTATACCTTTGTGAGTACTTTCTATAGAAAAAAACACTAACCAGATTGGTGCTTGCAACACGGAGCTGCTAAAGCTAATGCCCAGAGCTCCCACTCAGCTAAAACGGCAGTTATGGGGGCATATACATAAGGAGTGTCTTTGTGCCTCTTAACAGACACAAAATGCAATTAAAATGTCTGTCCAACATGAGCAGGGCCCTTACATGACAACAAGATGCGTTTAGCAACTTAGCCATTGTTTAAATTCACCTAAATAGTGTTTTAGGCGGCTAACTGTAGTCTCGCGCTGAAGGCCCGTGGGAACTCAGTTGTAGCCGGAAAAAGGTAAATAGCAGTGTGAAGGTGGGAGGAGCGTAGTGTGTGGAGATCGGAGTTTCTAGGTGCCTGAGGAGCCAGGATCTGTGCATTATAAGTTGTGCCTCCGATTGGGCTAAAACCAGCCAATCGTCGAGGTAGTTTACACACGCACTCCCAGCTGTCTCAGAGGGGCGAGTGCTCAACCATGCAGTTCGTAAATGTACGAGGTGCCAGAGACAGGCCAAACGGTAGTACTGTGTACTGGTAAGCCTGTCCCTCGAAGGCGAATCTCAGAAATGGTCTGTGATGGGGCGTTATCTGTATGTGAAAATAAGTATCTTTCAGATCCACTGAGAAGAACCAATCTCCTGGGCGAATTTGCGCTTGGATTTTCTTGGTTGTCAACATTTTGAACATAAGCGCTTTGTTCAAGTGTCTGAGGTCTAGAATGGGTCAGAGGCCGCCATCCTTCTTCGGAACGAGGAAGTAGGAGCTGTAAAAACCTGACTCGCTTTGTGACAGAGGGACTGGTTCCACAGCCCCTTTCTCTAACAGTTTCGGTGCAAAGGACATGCGTCACTTCGCTCCGTAACGTCGTTTTGACCACAGGTACAAAGCGTGGGGTTTCTCTTGGAGAGAGCGAGGCACGCGGGGACTGATCAGGCGTGTGCTCGCTCGTGTCCGCCCGCTCAGCGGGAAAACAGCCAGTCGAGCCCGCAGGGTGGGGAGATCCAGTTCGTCACACTAAGGGCAGTGCAGCTTCCGCGTGATCACGCTAGACAGGAAGTGCAGAGGATGTAACGATCTCCTCCGAACAGCGGGCCTCTGCACGAGACACACGAAGAGCGAGGCATTTGAAACAACGCCTTAGGAAGTATGCTCTTTTAGAAGAGTGTGACACGACGGTGAACACACTAGAATTGCTTTTAGAAAAAGGATATGGCGCGCCAGATGGCACAGCAGGTCAGCGAGCTGAAGGCGGCGTCGAGCGAGTCCAACTGAAGCCTGCTTCCTCAGTCTGCGCAGCAGGTGCTTGTCCCGCTGGAAGGCCGACGGCGGCGAGCTTCTATTCCGGAGGTCAGCGAACTCTCCACTTGAACTCCAAGGAGATCAAATCTGAATGCCTATGGCCGATTCTGTGCTTACATAGCAGAAGCCACGCCCATTCTTGCAGGCTCTGACGCGCCAGGGTGCGGAGCGACCCGATTGGCTCGTACATCTGAGCCACCCAGTTGTCGCAGAGCAGCCAATGACCGCACTAAGTCGCTCGTTCCTATGTCTGCGGTGCAGCTGCACTGCGTTTTAAAAATGTTGCTTCATATTCTCAAGAAAAGGAGTTTTTCCATAGTGTAAGCTTACGCAATAGGAGAGACTTGTGAATAATACATCTGATTACGGCAAACAAAGTGTAAGTGTATGATAAAGTTGAAGATAAGTATATAAGCAGACAAGTTTGTCTGTTCTTTATCTAATTCTAGGTGGTGTTTTTGCCTATTCTACTGCCCACGTCTTTTTCGTTTTTCAAAGCAAAACCGCTTTAAATGGCCAAATACATATTATATCATCATAGACCTTATGCAAAAACAGCTGAACATTAATTCCAAGTAAGATAACCATCTCATGTGAAACTAAACAAGATACCACACATTTTAGACAAGATACCACACTGAGCAGAAAACGGAAAAAATAAATAGCCTTGCATATCTTGCCCACAAATAGACGTACATTTGTCAGAGTAGAAGTAAACTAAATGTAGTCTGAATAGAACACATGAATATGAGTATAACTATGAGTATATGATATTAAAAGATGCAATAAACAAAAAGCATAAATGGATTAATACAAGAATAATGTTTGAAAGGATTATTCATAGAAATAACATAAGAATCACATCATAATCATAAGAACATAATCATAATCATACACATATTTTTTCTTTTTCTTATACACCACATGTTCAACAAGATTTCATGTTTATTATGAATGAGTATAAATGAATAATTTTTACTTTTAAGTTGCATTTGTTTGGTTCTTTGTTCAATTTCGAACAATTATTTTATTTTTATTATTAACTGCAAACATTAAACTTTGCTGAAATTAAAAGTCTTAAACTGGAAGTGTCATGTTAACCCTGCTAAACTAGAATTACTAAAAACTAAATAGCCATAGAAATGTGTTCACAAAATAAAAAATAAAACTAAACTGAACTTTATTGGAAATTTAAAAATGGTATTAAAATAAAACCTAATTTAAAAATGCAAAACTATAATAACCTTGGTGTGTGTGTGTGTGTTATCTACTCCTAGCTTGTGACTAACTGATTGGGTCGTTAAATGGACACATTCTGAGTATGGGTTACCATACTTGGCCTTCACATGTCACTTTCACATTGACTCAATAAGCAATGACTGCGATAATATCTTACTTGTTATGATAGCTGTGAATTTTAACAGAAATAGATAAGATTAATTGATTCGAGGGCTACAACCATAGACTATAGAATTACACAAGATGCAAAGCTCTCATATTGTTTTGAATGGGGAAATGTGCAACGCTCAAAATGGCAGAATAAGTCCCTCCTTTTAAATATGAGCCAATCGCCAATTGGCAAAATTAGAAGCTCTGGGGTGTGTTTCCCGTACAACGATGTAACTCGATGCTTCACTACCACAGTACGATGCATCGTTAAAGAAATCAACTAGTCACGACTGTTTCCCGAAACCATACTGTCGCAAAGTGGTCGTTCAACCACGCTGGTTAATGATGTCACACAGATGGTGGAGTAATAACTTCTTTTAATGAAACTGTTTGAGATCGAATTAATGGTAAATGTTTTGATATAAATTACAGACATGGCATCTTTATGAATATTTCAAATTTTTCTCAGTTATTTTGCTTCATTTCCAGATTCAATCATAGGCTCATTCTTACATAGTAGCCTAAAGCATGTTCACACATGCGCAGTCTTCAAAAACGGTGCTTTAAATCTCTTGACAAACTCATAGACATAAATTACATTTGTATTTATTCTAAATAAAAGACACAGGTTGTACTGAATGTCAGCTTGCTTATTTTGCTCAAGATAAGGATTTATTAAGTCAACATGTTATGCAATCTAGAAACTCTGCTTCTAACCACAGGTCGAGATGGTTTCAGGAAACACAGACTTGTTGAACTATGCTGATAACAACAGAACTTGCGACCATAGTTGGCTAATGATGCTTTTTAATGAGACAGTTTTTGTCAGATTTCATTGGTGATTTCAAAAATGAAATTTAATCGTAAGTTTTGGAGAATTTGCTGTTGGAGATCAGTTTCAAAGATGGCCGCCGAGTGAAATTTCTCAAGGGGACATTCATATTTTTATGCTACAATGAAATTCCTTTAACTCAATGTAGCTGGCAAACTGTTGCATGAATTATTTATATATTTATTTTTTGCTGAGCCAACTTTATTGTTTTAGAGTCTTCTAGAGTCTGTTGTATGATTCCCATTAATGACACTCTTCAAGAGCTAATTAGCAGCCTGTCAGTGTGTGAATACTGAATGAGTTCCTTTTTCACACTTTCAATAACTCCTTTTAACAGCAAGCACGTCCCGCTCTTTATTACTCATTCATCCATGTTCCTTTTTTGCTCTAACGTGTCAATAATTCCTGCTAAACTAAAATCTTCACAGATATATTTGCATACCGCGATATATAAAGGTTATGGTAAACGTTAAATCGATTCTCACTTTATATCAT